GTTCAAATTCTGACTGTGATTCATTGGTAGACGCTTGGACAAGTTTTCCAGTTTTGGAAGTGTCCATTTCCTTCCCCCTCACCAACCAGAACACCCACCAAGTCTGACGTGTGCGTGGCTGTAATGAAACAGACCTGGAAACTCCGCAATGGAGGAGGATGGTAACTGCTGTAGTCATCTCTCCTTTCCCTACCAACCAACACAGCCGCTTGGTGCAGCACCTGGCAGAAAAAGGGCCAATATATGTCCATTTGCATAACTAAGTTTCATACTCCAAAAATACTCCTGTAAGCTATTTTATAATGAGTAGAACTGCTAATAGTACTGGGTCCCTCTTCCTGGAACCCTCAGCCACTAGAACTTCTTGTGTCATTTATGTCATAACCTCAGAAAGGTCACCCCTGGCCACCCACCAACAGTCAGGCCATACAACCTACCCTATGACACACTATTGACATTACAAGACATGCCTACCTCTGTCGGCCTGCAGTCCCCACTCTCCAGAATGTAATTCTATGTGAACAGGGACCCTTGTCATTTTAGTTCTTTGCTGAAACTCCAGCCCCCAGAATAGCACCTGACACAGATGCAAGGAATACTTGTTAAATAACAGAGAGGAAGACCATCCACACAGTTACAACTTCTCAGCCCCCAAGGTTCCTCTTAACGTCCTCCTTGTTCCTCTCTCTGTTCTGAAATGTCCCCATCCTGCCACCCTTTCTACATAGTCTCCCTAACCAGCCCAGCCCAGCTCAGCATCCCTTTTTCCTCCTCTTAGGGAGGGTAATAGTCCTTACTGCCTATACCATCTGTTTAGCACTTTTTTTAAAAAAAAAAAAAAGTACCTTAGACTGAGTTATCTTTGCATATGGCTCTCTTACCTCCCTAAATTTTAAGTTTCTAAAGGGTTGTTATTCAACATCTTTATTGAAGAATTTCAAATATATACAATTTCAAAAGACTTTAGTGTTCTTCGCAGTACCAAGGTTTTTAATTTAAACAATTCTGATGGTAGAGACAGATAATATATCACTCTGCTAAGCTGATTATAATTTAACTGTTCTGTGGTGACTAAAAGTCATGGAGATAAATGCTTATAAACTAGTTGATATTCTCAGGCACTACTTAAGGTTTTTATGAAGGACTACCTGAACCTATTAAATGACCTTACAAAACCTGTTCTTTATCATTCATTGCTCATTTTTGTTATAAACTTTGTCTTCTTCAATGTCCAGCTTTCAGGTATAAAACGTCCTGCTGCTATAAATATAAACTCTTTTCTCCTAATTTGCTGTGAACAGTGAGATCAATAGGTTAGAACTAGGCCTAAAGCAAGGGTGAATCAGCACAGAATGAGGCTGCGACATAGGAAGAAAGAGGGAAAGAAGAGACCCAATGCTTATTCTGAGCTTCCACAGGTGCTCCATAAATCCCCATTGAATACATGAGTCACCAAGTCAGTAGTTCCTCCGCAAGCAGCAGGGAAGTAAATGCCAACCATATTCTGAGACGTGGTACTTACATTTCTAAGAGCCCACGGCTTCACAGAGCATGTTTTTATTATCTCACTTGCTCTTGACAACTTTGTGAGATTAGATGCACAAGTATCATTGATATTATGATATTCATTTTTAAGGCTAGGGAAACTTCGTCTCGGAGAGGTAACATGAGTTGCCCAAAATCGCATACCTGGTAAACACCCAGGCATCCCGGTTTTCATTCCTTCCACTAATCCCATTTGTAGAAAGCCACTGTTGTTTCTCCAGGTTAAAAGAACTTCAGGTAAGGCTCTTATGCAGCTGAGAAAGCAGGGAAAGCACTGCCATGATAGTCTACATTCTGGAAGAGCATTTGCCAACAGTCATTGCTTACTGCTAACGAGCAAATTCAATTTCTCATTTCTCACCAAAACAAATGGGACAGAGATCAAGGAGACGAGAAATATTTCTAAATTTGACCATTTCTATGCTATTTTATAATTGTAATCTTTCTATGCTTCACATTAAAATAACCTGAAACACCTGACACCAAAAACCCTCCTTGCTCTCTACCTGAAAGTTTAATCTATTTCATCCAAGTAACACGTTTTCCATTTTACAGAGGCTGCTCAGATATGCAAAAAAAAAAAAAAAGTGAAGATCAATCACAAAGCTGAGAATCCAAATTAAACTCTAGTTTAAAACGTCTGATGTATGCCCATCTTTGGCCCGTGGGCAAAACTGCATGCTCCATGGTCGCACACAATATGAATGAACTGTGTTCTCACAGCACTGCGTTCTTTTCCTTCAACACATTTGTGTGAGTCATTGCCAATCAATGAATATTTATTGAGGGCCGACTACGTGCCAACCATCTAGGCGCTGATCAGGTATTTACTGATTTAATGATGATTTCCCCGAAGAGACTACAGGCACCATGAGAAGAGTTACTGCTGCCTTTTTGCTCATCACTGTGCAGTACAACAGAGCACAGTGCCTAGCACACAGCATGGGCTAAATAAACATTAAATGAATGAATATGGGGGGGAGGGGGGAGGGGACGGGGAGCGTGGGAGGTAATGAGGGGAGAGAGGAGAAGGGTCCACCACTTTGTATGTAAAGAAATTAGGGCTTTGCCCTGCCCAAACAAGCCTATGATCCACCAGCAATCTGATGAATTCTGAAAGGCACCACATGCAACGCACAGCTGTAAGCATAGCAGCTGTCAGGCAAAGAAGCTGAGGTCCAGAACTATGAAGAATTCAGCCCTTTGTTTTTCTCTCTGTCTAAGAATGAAAATGAAGTTAGGCCCACTGTCAATCTACCTGTATGCTGCATGTATTCAACATGCGGCTTTCAGCAATACTAAGTTAACATTGCCTCTGAATGACACTTGTGTTGATTCACTCTCTGACAACACTACCTGAAAAGATATTATTTAAATGTCTGAGGTCACACATAAAACCTAAATAGAACCGAGTTAATATAAAAAAAAAATCTCCATTTCAGGTCTTTGCAAGCTATAAGTTGGAAAGGAAAAAAAGGTTTTATTTAAAAGTAAAAAAAGGTTTGACTCATTATTTAAACTCTTCAAAGTTTAAGTCTTAGAGAGCAAACAGGTCTCTTTACCAGTAAGCTGTTAAAAACAGACTGTAAGTTCCAAGAGTGAGCTTTGCGTAAGTCTTTTAATTAAAACCTGGGATTCTGGGTTATAGGCTGCCCAGAATAGTACATAACAATAGGATAATAAGAAATATGAACTATTTAGGTCAATATAAAACACCAGCCATCTATGCAGGTATAAAATTGCAGATATTAAGTTCACATATCTCCAATATAGCAAAAAGTATATGTTCAAGTTTTCCCCACATCCAACTAAAAGAAAAAAAATTTACAGATAAGCAAAAGAGTAATGACGTATGTTCTAATAAACATGCACATCAAAGTATGCCAAACAGAGGTTTGCATTAAACTGAGGTTGCTATTAAACTACAAATCTATTTAAGTACATGAGTTAGTTACGATTAGTGGCACAGTAAAGAGAGTCCTGTCCTCCCCATCTCCAGCCCCCTACATATCACAACTTACCTGGAAGGCTGGTAACATTAAACCAAATGAATACAAAATAAAGGAACAAGTTGAATTACATAAAAAGTTTTCATTGCAACCAATTAAGCACTAAGCCTAATAACAAAATCTCAGTACTCAGTTAAAGTTTAAAAAAACAAAAAACAAACAAACTAAAAAAACTGGGAACTTTCTAGACTCTGATCATCTGATTCAGGATCAAAAGCATTTAACACTCTAAAGCAGTGACTAAATCACATCAATAAATAGACAATGCATATTCAGTAAAAGGCCTACCAACTGTTCCATGGGTGAGTTAATTGTATTTTCATTTTATGGTGATATACAAAGAATACATACTTGAAAAATCAAAACAGACTTCTTGCCTACATTCCTTAATGACGATTTTAATATTTTCCCAAATCGAGTTTACGGTATGATTTTAATCACACTATGTCTTCCACAACTCACTTTGCAATGTTGGGTAAAGGATGGACCTGTTTGTTCAGATGACTAAAAAAATTTACTTAAGACCTAAGGTGAGAGAAAAAAAAAAAAAAAAAAAACACCTGTATTTGTATCAATAAGAAACTACCATACTGTGCCTTGGCATATTTTCAAACTGGAATCTATGACCGATTCCTGAGTTCACAGTAAAATTCTTCATAAAAAAAAAAAAGTCCCAACGTGTCAGTATGCCAGCTGGAAATATGATACAGCCAAACTATTTTCCTAACCAGAAATTATCCCCTCCCTTTTTAAGTCTGACTACAATACTTTACCTTTTGTTGGAAATCATCAGAAGTCGTAAAACTATGAGAATTGCGTCAAAACGACAGAACAACACGCTCTCTAACTTCCACAACCCCCTAGGCATCCTTTCGGAAGCCCATCGCGCCCGCAGTCTCCCTGCCCTCCCCGCCGCCTCCTGTCTCTGTGTCTGTCTGTCTCTGCCCCTGCCTCCCCCACTCCCCCGCCCCGACTCCGCGGCCGACGCAGCCCGCATCCCGAGCTGCGGGCCCGAGTCTGAGGAGCCGTGCTGTCAGGCCGGCCCCGAGAAGGCTCGGGCGCCCGCCTTGCGCGCGGATGCGGAGCGCGGCTCGGGGTGCCCGCGGGAGAGCGTCCGGCCCAGGAGAGACGTCCGCGCACTTTCCTCAGCCAGGGCTCTAAGTCACAAGTTAGAAAACAGCCCGAGCGAGCGGCGGCCGTGATTCAGCAGCGGGGCCCGGCCGGCCCGGGCGGGAGGGCGGCCGATCGCAGGGCCCGAGCGGGACCGCGGGGCGGGAGCAGGGCAGGGCCGGGCCGAGTCCGGAAAAGGTCACTGAGACGCCGCGGGCGCCGCCGTCCGAGCCCGCGACCCGCCTCGCGGTCAGGCCAGCAGCGGCGGGGGCGGCAGGGCGGCGTCGCGTGCGGGCGTGGTGCCGAGGCCGGGCAGGCGGGCCGGGGGGCTCCTACCTTTCCGGCTCTTGGGGGAGCTCCGCTTACTCCGGGCGCTGGCTCGCTCTTCCTCAATCGCAGCTGCTATCTCAGGGTTGTCTTCCCCATTGTACCAGACCAGGAGCTCCTCGCCCGGCGCGATTGGCTGCGGGGAGAGAAGAGACAAGCGCCGGGCCAATCAGAGCGGCGGTTGTTGGCGGGGGCGGGGCGCGCACCGGGACGCGGGAGGGAGCGGCGCCGATGGCAAACAGCTGTCGGCGGCGCCCCGCGCACCCAGCTAGCAGGAAGGGCTCCCGGCCCCAAGCGGGCCGCGCCGGCGCCCGGAACCCTCTGCTGGAGGGAGGACCGCACCCGCGGCGCCAGGAGAGGGGCGCGGAAGGCCAGGTGACGGGCAGCGGAGCCCGGGTGCTGTCACAGCTTCCTGTTTAAAGCCTCACGACGGCCCACGCACGGGAAAAAATAAAACATGGGACCATTTTGCTCACGAAATCTGAAGTCAAGAAATGTAAAGCGTGCGGCGTGGAAAGCAGAGTGCTGAAAGATAAAGACCAGGGCGCGTTACAGACCCCAAGAGCAACTTCAACAGGACGAGGAGGAACCACGCGCAAGCACTTACGAATACGCCGCGGTTTCTAGCCCAGCGCCTCCAATGGGAGGCCGCCCGGGGCCACCAACCTGCTCGGGTCCTGGGAGGTCCGTGCCTCGCCCTTTGGACCGTACATCAAACTTCTACATTTTAACTTTCAAATATAGCAGGAAGTATCTCCCATGCATTATGCTGCTAAACCATTACATTCTTAAGCCATGTATGACTGGGAGTAGTGAGGACCACCATCAAACTGATTCCACGCAGAACAAGATCCAGAAGAAAAAACACACTGAGTGCAAAGTTTACATCCCTAGAATTTGGGGAAACAGCTTATTGGTTTCTCTCACAACGACTGATCTGTTCAAAAGTTTCAAGGGTATCAATACAAATAAAATTGTATTTAAAACCGACTGAATAAAAATAAGAATCCATGAGTCCAGCCTGATGTGAATGAAGGAAGGAAGGAAGGAACAAGTAAATAAAAAGGAAAGCTCTTCCTTAAAGGAGATGCCAACTAATCAGTAAAAAAGAAATGCTGATTAGAAAATTGCCATTTGACAATCATTACAGTAATGATTAATTCAAGCAAGACTCAATCATGAATGGATGCTAAAAGTAGGTAAAAGTTAGGAGTAACAAAATACATTGCCTCAGAATATCTCCCCATAAAATAGTTATTAATTACAAAAGAAAAAAAAACACTTTAATAATAAGACAAATCAACAGCATATGTCTCCTAATACGATGCACAGAAAACAGAGCATCACTTCCGGTAGATTTCTGCACAAAATCCTTACATAGAATTTAATCATTATGAAATACAAGAGAAGCTCAAACTCTGGGACGTTCTGTAAAATAACCAACCAGTTCTCAAAACTAAAAGGTTATAAAAGACAAAGACTAAGGTACCATCCAAACACATGAGACATGACAACAGATGTGAAAACATTTTACAAACACGATTGGAACAACTGACAGAATCTGAGTAAGATGTACATATTAGCTAATAAAATAATGTGTTGGTGTTAGCCTCCTGATTTGGATCATTGCACAATGGTTATCTTAAGAGAGTGATCCTGTGTGTTTTGCGTTTTGTGTTTTTTGCGGGGAGGGAAATTCCACCTACAGTTTAAAAACAAAATAGTTCCTCACTTCAACATACCTTCTAGTCTAGATAAAGCCCCTAAAAGTAAATACTACTTCGCTTAATTCTCTGTAGAATTCTCACTGTTTATATAGTCCAAATTTTAAAATACTCTAAATTCTTTAAAATAAAAGCAGCTGTTTCTTTTGCTCTCCTCCACCCCTAAGAAAAAATCTGCCTTTCTCTTATTTTTGAACCAGTTAAATCTAACAAAAAAATTTAATATACAAGATGTTAATGAGTGAAAGCCTCACAAACACCTTTGGCATTCTAATGAGCTAGTCTGTTGAAAGAACAGGCTTATGTTAGAGAAAACTGTAGATGAAATGTGTAGTTTCTCTATTTTTTTGTTGTAAGTCTCATATTTAAGAAATGGTGGTATCAACTAATATTTGAAATGACTAGAGTTCTCAGAAATACGTAAAGTCTTAAAACCAAAGCAAAAAAAGAGCACGGGAAGGAGTGAGAACAAACGCGCTCCCCATATATTCCCCACTGAAATAGCATAACCAGAGAACTAGCGAGAAGATATCACTGGACATTTTCAAGATTCCTCTAAGAATAAGAGCTTAAGTTTCCCTGTTCTCTCCATTGCAGTTGTCAGGGAAATGCTAACTGAACTAGCAACTTGGTGAAGTTAAATATCCATGCAAACGCCCCTTGGGAGGGCACTCATGTCCTAAGATATTCTTGTTGCTGCAAAACACACAAAGTAAAAACACTCCAAAATCTGTACCACAAATCAATACGAAAGTTCTAGCACTGGTGAAGTGTTAGAACAAAAGGAACATATTTGTTAGCTGCTGAACAGCTTTCAAATTTATTAGTGATCATAGTGGCTCATATCTGCAATCCCTGAACTCTGGGAGGCTGAGGTGGGCAGATCGCTTGAGGCCAGGAGTTTAACATCAGCCTAAGCAATATGGTGAAACCCTGTCTCTACTAAAAATACAAAAATTAGCCAGGCATGGTGGTGCATGCCTGTAGTCAGAGCTATTCAGGAAGCTGAGGTGGGAGGATCACTTGAGCTTGGAAGGCAAAAAAAGGCCGGGCATGGTGGCTCATGCCTGTAATCCCAACACTTTGGGAGGCCCAGATGGGTCAAAGATTTGAGACCAGCCTGGCCAACATGGTGAACCTCGTCTCTACTAAAGATACAAAAAATCAGCTGGGTGTGGTGGCATATGCCTGTAATCCTTGCTACTCAGGAGGCTGAGGCAGGAGAATCACTTGAACCCAGGAGGTGGAGGTTGCAGTGAGCCAAGATCACGCCATTGCCCTCCAGCCTGAGCCACAGGGCAAGACTACATCTTAAAAAAAAATAGTAGTAGAAAACAAAACAAAATTATTAGCAACTTGAAATGGTTATATTACAGAACTATATATGCTTTGCAACTTTATATTAAAACAGCTACACCAATGGACCCTTATGATGAGAAAAATAATAATATATATTTTTTAAATCAAAGCTTGTTTTCTTCCATACTATGTTGTTTTTTCCTTCTGCACTGATTAGCATTTTTAAGTTAAATTCAAAAGAAAAGAAAAACTACTGCCTTCAGAAAGGAAATATAAATCCACATCAAAAAAAGTCAGAAGACCAAACAACCTTTCTTTAAATATATTTTGATGTTAAAGAAAAAATTAACAACAAAGATTTTAAACTCTTCCTACGTTCTCTTTGGGTTCAGAAAGGTATAAAACCAAGAATCTACTCCATGTTCTCTTCTTTAAACATCAGCATATATAAAATAAACTTGAAATTTTACTAAACAAATCGGGAAGAAGCAAGGTAATATTCCCCATACTGGGTAAGGAATATTAGAAAAATGTGCCTAAATCTAAAAAATATTAGAAAATGAAAGAAGTATTCCAGGATCACTCAAACACACAAAGTACAGCCACTCATACCCACCTACAATCCAGTCCCCAGCACGGTCTTTTAAAAAGTCATAGGTCAGATCTTGGCCTCAACTCTCCAATTGGTGAACAGCACTTAACCCTAAAACTCATCCATCCCTGTGGACCTCACCAGCCTCATCTCCTAAGATTCCTCTCCTCCTCCCTCTAGCCACATGGGCTTTTGTTCTATTCCTTTAAAAAACAAACCAAAAACATTAGCTTATTTCTCCTCTAAGGCCTTTGCTCCTACCACTCCCCTTCCTGGATTGCTCTTCCAGCAGACCTTTTCGTGGCTGTCTCCTTCCTATCCCAGAAGTGGGGTTCAAACATCTTTCCTCAGAAAGGCCTTCCCTGACTCACTAGAGACAAAGCAGCCCTCTCCTACCTAGCTAGTCTCTATCACATTTTACTGTCTTAACACACTGATCACTACCAGAAATTACTTTCCTATTTACTTGTTTATTATCTGCCTCTTTCCCTGTAACACGGAAGATCCACCAGACCAGAGACCTTGTCTGTCCTGTTCACCACTATAGGAGAGGTCTTGGTACACAGTAGACTCGCAATAAATATTCATCAAACTCATAAACAGAGGAATGAAGGGACAGCAGAGTTAACAGCTAAATTTCAGGAATTTAAATCATTTTTAACCATATTAAAAACAAAACCAATGTTGAGATTTCCCAATTATCTGGTGTAATAAGTTGACAAGGTGATACAGAGCCCAGAGAGCATCACATGTCATTTCTTCACAAAACCTTACCCACGGAACACTTAATCTAGAAGAACAGAGTTAGATAATCACTAGTAAAAAATGTGAAAGGCTTTGTACCTACTTGAGCAAATATCAAAGATCAAGTTTAGGGGAGGTCTGCAAAAATCAGAAGTGTTATTTTGGACAAAAGTAATAGTACTAGTATAGCTAGTTAACACTTGAGGACTTACACTGGACTAAGAACTGTTCACAGAACCTTCTCTATATTGATTTGTTTAACCTTCACAACAAACTATGAAGCAGTCTTATTATTACCTCCATTTTATGGATGAGAAGACTAAGACACATAGAGAGTAAGTACCTTTGCGTGGTCACATATCTAGAAACCAAAATTTGCTCACAAAAGAGTCTGCTCCAGAGTCTCCCTCCTGACCATGACACCATACCACCTTGTAAAAAATAACAGCAATCATGTATTGGCACCTATTAGGTGCTGGAGCTCTATCCATATTCACCCATGCAATCATCACAACCACACTATGAGGTCAATGCCATAATTACCTGTATCTTACAATGAGGGCACTGAGGCATGGAGAGGGGCTTAGCTAAGGTTACAAAGCTAGTAAGGTCACATCTACTTGCCTTGGATCACAGCAAGTCAGGATTTAACCTAGGCAGTCTGGCTTCAGAGTTCACTCTCCCAGGCACTATTCTATCTTGCTACTTAGTGTTTCTCTGAATTTGCATCAGAGATGAACATATTTTAACTTGAAGTATAATGAAGGAATTGCAGTGTCCCAATATCCACATGGATAATAGGAACTTCTTTCCTATACCTTGATTGTCTCATATTCATCCCCTAACCAGTATTTCACCTCTACCAGGATTCTACCTCACTGATTCAACTATATGTATTTCTCACTTTAAATACTCTTGAGAAACAGAATGCATTCTTGTATTCAATTTCAAACTTCGATATAAGAAAACTGTAGAGTAATACCTACTAGAAAAGCATGCTACTACAATCCAGCAGAACAAAAATGGAAAACAAGGTTTTTAAAGTCCTAAATAAGAAAGTATAACAAAACAATCTCCTGCAGGGATTGGATGCAAGGACCTGGGTATAAGCATGGTCAAAGGCAGGCTAGTTGGCTAACCATGTCGGGAAAGCTGCAGCGAAGGAAAATTAAATGGCTACATGTTAACTCAACTTCCAGAAGGCTATTGCCACCACACTAACAAAACCCAGCACACTGCAAAGCTCACCACTATCTGAAATGTGTGCTCACCAAGTGTTCAACTCCATGGAGGTAATTTTTTTCATAGACCATTCTCCAATCTATGACATTTTTAATGAAAGTAAGTGAATAAAGAGAAATTTGCCTTATGGCAAGTTTGCGTATCTGTTGCAAAAAGCAACAACCATCCATCTTAACAGGCTCGAGACTCTTAGAAAATCTCCAGGTATAATGTGGATTTGTCTTCTTCAAGAATGTGATCCATGAAAATGAGGGAGAGACATGGCCTTCTCAACGAAGAAATGCAGCAACACTCAACGCTTCCTAATACTTAACGTCTCTGAAAGTGCTCTATAACCTCATTACCAGTACTAAAACATAACCTCATTACCAGTCCTAAAACATGACTTTCTTCTCCAAGGAAAATGTGGCAGAAGGAAGAAACATGTTCTGAGTAAAATTTAGGGAAAAGAAAAGCTAATCCAATGCTGCATTAATATCAAAGACTAACAATGTGTATTCAATTAACACAGACCCACGATAGCTATTGATGGTTTCTTACAGTTGGATAAATCTGCCAGTCAGACAGTTCCTAATGCCTCTGTGTCTTAGGAGGAGGGAAGCAGCTGCCACTTGCTTAACTCATCAGTATCTTTAAAGGAGCAGTGTGTAATTATTTAACATGATCTTCATGATTTAGCTCCCTGACACACATGGGCAACCATATATTTACAACACAGAACCTTGAGTGTGTGGATGAAGCACTTCCAAATATAATCTTTTCAAGGTCTGCAAAGTCATTATCAGTCACAACTAAGGATAGCATTAGATAAGCATAAGCAGGGCCAGGCATTGTGGCTCATGCCCGTAATCCCAGTACTTTGGGAGGCTGAGGCCGGTAGATCGCTCGAACCCAGGAGTTTGAGACCAGCCTGGACAACATAGCAAAGCTCTGTCTCTACAAAAATTAGCTGGGTGTGGTGGCATGTGCCTGTAGTGCCAGCTACTCAGGAGGCTGAGGTCTAAGGATCACCCAAGCCTGGGGAGGCTTAGGCTACAGTGAGCCGTGATGGAGCCCCTGCACTCTAGCCTGAGCAACAGAATAAGACAATCTCAAAAAACAAGGAAAACATAGCAGAGTAACTAATGGTAAATTAATTCTAACACTGTTACCTTTAAAGTTTTATAGTAAATGGCTCTGTTGATTTCCAGTGGGAATAAATTTTGCTCTTCTCCCGAGCAAGCCCAATTCACATACCGCAGCCAGTTTCCCTTCTCTGGATCAGTGGCATCAATGCACATCCATCCCAAATTTGGGTAATATACCTTGAGAATGGAGAGAAATAAAAAACTGTTGTTAAAATAGAAATATCTTTAAAATGTTTCCATTTTTAACTTTTAAGGATAATTCGTTTTCATTATATGCAAGTACTCTATATAACGCATTTCATAAAAACAAGCAACAGAGAAAAGAAAAAGGTAAAAATTGAAATTAAAAACTGTGTAAATCTCATTGTTTTTCTATTTAGGCTTGTTTTTTTCTCCCCCACAAACTTAAAAGGCTATAGTTAACATGCTTGGTATCTCCAAATGCTTACAAATATGGACACAGAGACAAATAACAGCTATGCTCCTTAAAGTGTGACTTAGAAAGGAAAACAGCTTGCACTGTTGTTCAGCAGCACCCACATCCCAAGCTTTCTGGGTTGCTCCACTAGCCAAGTATGGCGTCCTGGCCTTGCCAGGTAATAGAGTTCAGCAGGTCCCTTCCTCACAGAGCTGACAGGGACTTCAGGAGTGAACAAGCATCATGAACCAGGCACATGGATGACAGGATATGATGCTCTGCAAACTCAGCTCACCCTTAAAACTTGCTCCATCCAGAGCATCTGCAAGGGCGAAGGGGCAATGGAACAGACTCTGGGAAATATCAATGCCCTTCAAAAAGAAAAGGACCAAAACCTCAACCCCTTTTAGAAGTCAAATGAAATCTCTTGCAAGAAGCCTTCCCTTCTCACCCACACCAATTCCTCCCACAGATGCTCCCAGCACTTATTTATCGTCCTTCATTTTTAAAGAACATCTATTTGGCAACTATTTTTAACTTTAATTTTGTGTGTATATATATATACATACATATACACATTTCCCCAAAACCAGACTATAAAACACCCGAGTAGACACTGAAACAGAACTGCAGAATCAACTGGCTGGCAGACGTGCTACGCAAAAGAAATGAACCTCCTACTTTATTTTTAGGAAGAAAGGATATAATCTAGATGTTGCCATTTCTTCCTAACCACTCATGCCTTCTTCCCTACCCACATTAGTTACCTTTCTTTACTGCACCTTTTCTTCTGGAACAAAGCTCCCATTCCCCCACTGATGGTGAGGATGCTGCTCTTCTGGGAATGCCTGGGTGTCTAAGCCTATGATTGCCAAGGGGCAGCATCCACCTTACCAGGCACTAACACTGCCTTCTTCCTCTTGAAAGTTGAACGTCAGGCATAATGCTACTTGCCTGGCATATTATCTCATTTAACCCTATGTAGCAGGTTTATTATCTCTCCTTTGAATATGTGAAAATTGAGGCTCATAAGTTAAATAACTTTCCCAAAGTCACCTGTTTGACTGTCATAAAGATGGGCTTCAACTCAGATCTGCCTGTCTTCTATTTATCAGTGCCTTCCTTGACCATCCTAGTTAACTGAACTACCAATATCTAATGAGCACCTACTATGTAACAGGTACCATGCTAGGAGGTGCACTGTAGTTACTTTAATCATCACAGGCACCAAGGAGAGTATCTGTACATAGTAACTTACACACGTATTATTCCCCTCATCTTCAATATAAACTGCCCAGCCTGGGCTCAGGGATAGTAAGTTTCATTTTAATTCACTGCAGTGATGGCAGAGTCCCACTCACTCTCCACCCAAATACTGGCACAGCTACTGAGACTAATGAGACTGCAGAGACAAACACAGATAGTTGCCAAGAAAACCACGCAGTTCAGAAGGCAGCTGGAGTCTATGTACCTGCCTCAGGATAAAAATACAGGCTGTGCCAGAACTTCCTGGCTCTCAGGTCAATATAGCCATTTGCAAAAAGCAAAGTGTTACAGTTGAGTCAATTCCTTATTCCTACATAGCTCATTTTGTTTCAAATGAGACTAAGGCATCTTCTTCTAAGTCACACTGACTGACGTACAAAAGGAACACTTGCTTTTGTAGAAAAAGATAACACTTCAATTTTTAAAAATAGACCAAGAAGTACAACGCATACACACAGCCAAAATCTCATAAAAATACTAATCTTAGTTATTAAAAAATAACTTGAAAGTAAAACAATTTTAACCTCTTAAATTGGCACACAAAAAAATTTTAAAGATAGGAAAGGGAGTGAAAAAACAGATATTGCCCCAAAACACTGCTGAGCAGAAAACAAATTGAGAAGAAATTTAGCCACACCTGACCAAAAAACAGACAAAAAACTTTAAAATATACGCACACAAACCCGCACATATACTTGAAGGAATTCATTCTAATGAGATCATTGGACAATGGTACCCAGATGTATATACAAAGATGTTCACAGCAGTGTGGTTTCCAACTGATGGCTAAATGGCAAACAATATGGAATGAACTTAGTAAATTATGGTCCACTTACAGAGCTGAAACCTAAGACACTAAAAAGTACTGTGGTACAAATGATTAATTAGATTGTACGGGAAGATTTATTTCCTGTTAGATACACCTATATACTTGAAAATGTTTTCCAATAAACATGCATTATTTCTGTAATTAGAAGGCAGCAAAAATAATCAGATGTTGTGAAAATACACTTATCAGCATAAAAGAATTAACACATTGATGACTGAATAAAAGCATTTATAAAAAGTATTTTTCAAGTATATCATTTTTGTTTTAAGTATATGAATACACGAATATAAGAGAAAAATCTGAAACTAGATTAAAATGTCACAAATGGTTTTCTCTGAGAAGGGGGATGATCTGTAATTTTTATTTTCTTTAATCTTATATCTTTCCCCCACTAATTTAATATATTCTACATGACAAAAAAGGAGGATGGGAAAAGCAAGTTAGTCTTCTGAATGAAAACCTAAGTCTGAATGAAGGTAGCCAAGGTCTGCGGAATTCTAAGCTAAAATCCTCCTCATCTTCCTCTTCCCCCACAGGTATTTCTAAAAATCTTGCAGCTTTCTCATTTTTATTGAGAGTTTAACCGTATGTTTAAAAACAGATTAAAATATGTTTTCATACAATTCCCATCTCACTTGGTCAAACCTTTGTTTCTAATCAAATTAATTTCAGTGATTGACACACAGAACCTATCTCCAAAATGTGACATAATTTTGCTTCCTGTAACTATCGATTAAACCTTTGTTTCTAATCAAAGTAATTTCAGTGACTGACCCACAGAACTTATCTCCAAAATGTGACATAATTTTGCTTCCTGTAACTATCGATTAATATCCAGATCTTCATAAGGGCCAACAAATATGTAACTGACTTGATCCCAGAGAAATACTGCCATATAATCAATGATCTTTTCCTTGATTTAATCTATAAAACATTCCCTTTTAAAAAGGCAAAGGTATCTAATTATGTACCATTAAAAATGAATTTTGACAAGCTACCTAACTTTCAAATTCAAACTCCCTACTTGGAAAGAACTTAAGGAAGAGAAAGACCACTATACCAAGCAGTGGGCTAGATGCTTTACATGTTATTTAACTCTTAAGAATTTATGGCTGGGCGTGGTGGCTAACACCTGTAATCCCAGCACTTTGGGAGGCTGAGGTGGGTGGATAATTACGTCAGGAGTTCGAGACCAGCCTGGCCAAGATGGTGAAACCCCGTCTCTACTAAAAATACAAAAAAATCAGTCAGGCATGGTGGCAGGTGCCTATAATCCCAACTACTCCGGAGGCTGAGGCAGGAGAATCATTTGAACCTGGGAGGCAGAGGTTGCAGTGAGTTGACATGGAGCCACTGCACTCCAGTCTGTGCAACAAGAGCAAAAACTCTGTCTCAACAACGGAAAAAAGAATTTATAAAATAATTTAATGAAATGTTATTAAGGCTTAATGAAATATTATTAAGCCCCCTTATAAATAAGCAAATTTATGGAGGGTTGGTAACTTCAAAAGGTTAATTAAGTCACTAAAAATCACAGCAGGGATTCAAACCTGGTCCCCTTATTTCTTCCTATGCCAAAATCAAAACAATATGCAGATAGGGAATGGGGGAGGGAGGCTGGTACTTTTGTCCTGTTGAGTGGAGTTCTCAACTTGCCTTTCTATTTTCCCTCTTTCCAGACCCCTCTTTCCATCCCTAACCTCCAGTAAGTTGGCCAGGCCCTACCTCCTTTCTGCCTCTACCACCTGACAGGGACTGAGTAGTAATTCTTGGTCAAGCAGAACATAATTTTCATACCACCCAATTTCCATTCAATTTAATCCAGTCATTTTGAAATAGCTATAAAATAATCTAAATTCAAATTTTAGTACCCATGCCAATTTAAATACACATTCAAAATTAAATATTTATGCTATATAGAAGAAGGCTTGCAAAGAACAAACCAAACCGTTAGTTACCTCAGGGGACAGAAAGTGAGGGTTATAACTAATAGCCCTCCATATCATCTACCTGTTACATGTATTAATTCAAATTTGTAAATTAAAAAAAAAATCTGATTCAGCTACTGCAAACACACCATCATTTGAATCCTCAACTATTCACCTATAAGCACCTCACTCAATCAAAACTTGCAGTAACCCACTTACTTTGATAGAAACCATTCAGGAATTAGGACAAGGCAATGAAGAAACCTCCTCACACTGTAGCAACGCCCATGTGGAGAGAAATCCTCACTCACACCAGCTCTCCAAAGTTAGAGTCTACAGCAATAAAACCACTTCCGCTGGCTGTTCTCGATTTCCCTCCTACTGCATGTAACCTGGGGCTCTAACCCGTGGAGACAGAATCCCTCTTGGAGGTCCAAGCTCCCATTGCAGTGGGCCTACTCTGTCCACACCTCCTGAGGCTCCTTTTCTCATTTTCATTTTTCTGGGGATCTAGCTTGTTGAATTTCCAATGTTATAATCTACACCCTGCTTTCCACTTTCCCTGTCTGTTCCCAAAAGACAGGCAGGAGGTTCACATTTACCTCCTGAGTCCCCGTCAGTAAACCTTGATTCAGAGAACTTTCGGAAGTCAGTTCTGGAATCCGCACCCTTTCCTATTATTCTTCTAACTTTCTTGATTCAAAACACAGCCCATATCCTCTAACATTAGGGGAAA